CACCAGGTAAGCCTCATACCCAAAGATTCTACAGCCTTCAAAACGGTCCACAAGATGGGCACCAAGCATCCAAAGCATGAGCCTGTGAGGGACATTTCAGATATAAACAGTGACAGGAACTTAAAAGCAGTCATGTTAACAGTCCTGTCAGTTTTATCTAACAGTGTCTTACCATCACACCAAAAGCAACAGCTCTGCCTGGAGCATGGGAACTTCCCCTCTGGATGCAGAAGAAACTATCCCTCGTCAGAGTGGCTCTCACATGCTCCCCCAGACATTATCTGCCAACAATGTTGCTATCTTCATGTTAAACCCCGTTTTCTATGACAATCCAGTTTATCAGCTTTAGAAGCCAGCACCGGCACTGCATCTGACAACTTAACGGAGGGTGACGGTGACAGACGCCATGACAAGACACACACTCACCAATCTCCCAAGCTGTGCCTGAAGGCTCCTCTCCACGCTTCGGCTGCTTTCAGTGTACAGGGTACCTCCGGGCGGTAGGAGCCATGCAATGGACTTCCCTTTCCCATTACACAATCTTGTTTCCATTTGCAATTTCTCATCACATAACTTAATTTTTATTAAAACACATATATGTGCATTAAACAAGAGCAAGAATAAGGACATTTCTAAATTATTTCTTTTTCTGCTTAGGGGTACATGTGTGTCTCTGTGCGTGGGTATGTACGAATGAGTATGTTCACAGAAACTGGAAGATGGTGTCAGACCCCCTGAAGCTGAAGCTACACGTGGTGAGCCGCCTCGTGTGGGTGCTGGGGCGAGAAGAGCAGATGCCATCTCTCCAGCCCCATGAAGAAGCTAAAATGTTAGAAATTAAATCTGTATTAAGAGATGTGTGCTCTTGATCTATTTCCTAGTTTCCCAAATTTTCAACAACATTCATGTAATATATAATCAAGAAAAGGTAGGAAATGTCATTTTAATAAGTTCTCCAGAGAACAAGTTGTCTTAGTTATGGTTTCTAATGCTATGAAGAGACACCAAGACCACGGCAACTCTTATAAAGGGAAATATTTAGTTGGGGTGGCTCACTTACAGTTTCAGAGGTTCAGTCCATTATCATCATGGCATCATGCAGGCAGACGTGGTGCTGGAATAGTAGCTGGGAGTCCTATATCTTGCAGGCCACAGGAAGTCAACTGGGATACTGGGCTGTATCCTGAGCATAGGAAACCTCAAAACCCACCCCAGACACAGTCACGTACTTCCTCTGACAAGGCCATTCCTGCTCCAACAAAGCCACACCTCTTACTAGTGCCATTCCCTATGAGATTATGGGGGCCAGTTACATTCAAACAACCACACAAGTCTCTATGCTATTGCCGTCTGTGGCTTTCAGTGTGTGTGCACACATCAGACACTGTCTGAGCCTCCACTGCTGAGACTGGAGTCTCATTTCTCACTGCCCATGCCATGAGGCCTATGCAGTGAAGAGAGCATTTTGGGGAGGAGGCTGAAGTGGTATGTAGAGGGTTGCCATGAGAAGGGTGAGAGACAGTGACTGCCCAGGGTGTTAAGGAGAGACAATCTTGGGAGAACAGTAGATCTGCCAGCCCAGAGAGCACCCAGTGAGTCTGGAGGCTCCAAGAGAGACCCGTGTCCTTGATATGGAGTCTCATATGCTTCCTAGTCTGGCCTCAAAGGCTCCTCCACCTCAGCTCCCCAGTGGTGGGACTCAAGCTCACACCATCATACCTCGCTTGAGATTTCTTGAAGATGAATTAGCTAAACTATGCTCAACTGAATCTGGCTTCACTGAAAGGAGAATTACATACCCGGGGAAAAGTTTAAAAATGAATGGACAGCACCCCAATAATACATTTTGTTAAAGGCCATTATTGGCTCCAGGGAAAACAGACTTAGGTAGGAAAGGAAAAGTCATACATTACGTGACTTGGCTATCAGGTGCATTTGAACAACCACAGGGAAGTTTTATTGAATATCGACATGATCAAAAGGCAAAGTAAGCCGGGCGGTGGTGGCGCACACCTTTAATCCCAGCACTCGGGAGGCAGGGGCAGGCAGATCTCTGTGAGTTCAAGGCCAGCCTGGGCTACCAAGTGAGCTCCAGGAAAGGCGCAAAGCTACACAGAGAAACCCTGTCTCGAAAAACCAAAAAAAAAAAAAAAAAAAGGCAAAGTAACCAATTTAAAGAGAAAGTATTTGTGTGGGTGTTAGGGACAGGGAGGACACAAACATCTCCCAAGTGCAAAGCCTGTGCTTAACAAGAAAAGCAATGGCAAGTAGCATGTTCTCTGGGAATACAAATACTAAACTATCAAAATTTTCCCAGGGGCCTGCCCTGAGAAGATTTCTCCCAGAGTCCTGGGGAAGACGCTACAGCCGAGGTGGGGTATCTGAGGGAAAAGAATCCAAGTACACTGGGTTCTTTCGTCCATTTACTTTATTCCTCTGAGATTAAATTCTATCTACACAGCTTTATTTCTATTCTTATATATAGCTCTTCTCTGTCCCTTCTCTTTCTGTCCTCTCATAGCCCTAACTAAGCTCTTCTGCTATCGATCTCATCTTCATCCTCCGTTCCTCCATCCCCCATCTTTCCTTCCTCTCCTATTCTCTTGACCCGATTCAAATCCACCTACAATCTGCAAAACCTTCCCTTGCTCTCTCTCCTTGGGCTGAGCCTCTCTAACCCCAACCGGAGTCAGGAATTCTCCCCAGTCTTCACTCTACCTGGTTATGCAAAAACCCTTTTGTTCTTAGTCAATAGCTCCAGGATGCTACTAGGTCTGTGAGAGAAAGGGATGGTCCAAGCTTCATCTGCACAAGAAACAAAGCTATGTATCTACAATCCACCTGCCTCCTAGGAGACAGGCATTGTCTCTGTAGGGGTGCGACCTAGTACAGATCAGCAGTAGGGTCTGAGAGGCTTATACTGTTTGCTGTTATGGCCTATGAGTTATGGGCACACAAGAAATTGATCATAGGAAACAGCTGATACATTAAAAGCTGAATAACATCAAATATTCCTTGATATTTGACTTCTCCTCCAGAAGGATTCCTTGATCCTTCAAGGTATAGCTTTATCATATACAGCTGAATCTCTACTTCATATTCTTGAGGTCTGCAGCACCACCAGTGAGTGAAAGTGTTTCTCTCTTTACGGAGTGGGAGGTGGAAGGATTAGGGGATTGGTTTTTGTTTGTTTTCCCTCAGTACCACGTATGTTAGAATAGTCTGACTCAAACTGAAGCTCGTAGCTTTGATTAAAGTCTAGACAATTTGTAGGCTGGACAGAGATGGCTCATCAGTTAAAAACACATACTGCTCTTGCAGAGCACCCGAGTTCAGTTTCCAGACCCACATCATACAGCTCCTAACCACCTGTGACTCCAGCTCCTGGAGACCCAACGCCTCTGGCCTCCTGCACTCGTGTGCACCCTATCACGCACACCGGAGATATACATATAATTAAAAATAATAAAAAACAGTCTTAAAAAGTCAAATACAGAGAAGTTGAGGAAAAATAGCCGCTATGTATTACTTTGTGTTTCTTGATCTGAGACAATCCCAGGACCGGATGAGAGCAAATGACAGTTCACGATTATGTCATTATTATGTCACGACTCAGCTCTCCAGGCAGTGGATGTAGCTGTTTGCCCCCCACACACACTGTGCAGAACCTGAGCACACACATGTTCCTTGCACTAAATGATCACATGAATAAGACGGGTTCAGAAACCAGTGCTCACCACACTCGCTGACACTCGTAGAACTAAAGCATTCAGATGAAATAACCCAGTGTCTTAGGCTGGCCTTAAAACACTCCAAGAAAAAAAAAGTGTGTGTGCGCAGTGGGGTGGAGCAAGATTAGCTAAGTGTTTCTAATAACTGAGGGGGACCTGAATGTGTCCTCCCACATCTGGGCACACTCTGCAACTCTCAGTATTATAAGTAAGTGATGGCAGCGAAGTTAACGGCGTACGTACACTAAACTTGTCTGACAGTTGGCGAGGTCTGTATAGCACAGAATACGTATTTTAAAAAAGTCAGGGGCTGAGAGGCGGCTCAGGGGTTAAGATCACTCGCCACTCTTGCAGAGGACCCAGGCTCAGTTCCCAGCACCCACCTGACAGCTTGCAACAGGCCATGACTCTCGTTCCAAGTGATCCAATGCCCTCTTTTGACCTCTCCAGGCACCAGGCACACATGCAGTACATGTACATACGTGTAGGCAAAGCAGTCATACACATTAAAAAATAAAATTAAATAATGTCTTTTAAGTCAAAGGAGGAAAAAATTCATGCCACCAGCTCAGGAGACAGTGGCAGTTAAGAGCGTCTGCTGCTCTTGTAGAGGACAGGAGTCCGATTCCCATCAATTGGTCTCCATCGGAAGCTCCAGCTCCAGGGAGTACTATGCCCCTGGCCTCTACAGGCACCTGCTCTCATGTGTGCACATACATACATACACATACACACATACATAATTATTAAAAATAAAACTTTTTAAAAAAGAAAAAAAAATTATGTCAAAGGCGAAAATTGTATCTGGCCTTTAAATGAATCTAAGAAGCTAACTAGAAGCTTTACAGGGTTCTGAATGAAGATGTGAAAGAGGAGACTGGATAAAGTCATGGCGTTACTGAGAAATGTAATAGTTTACCTTTCAGATACACAGCACCTGGAGTGGAATGCCCCGTCCCCTGGGCTCAGGCGCACACTCCTGACTGTGGCCAGGCTGCCCTGGCCCTCTAAGCCTTAGTTTTCTATCCGCTAGACAGAGACAGGCCACTAAGCACACAACATCTGCTTGTGGCCCTGGAGTGAGGTGCAGGGACAGGCACTGGGGGTGTGCACTGAAACGGCACGTGTCTCGAAGAGACCAAGGGACCCCTGCTTGAAAGGCGGTTCCCTTCTAGAGGCTGAACTGCTGGACCGCTCAGCTAGGCTGAGTCAGGTGACTGGATGCAGTCTCGGTTCCCTTTATCACATGGTCACAGACAGACTGAGAGGTTCATGTGGGTAGGAATTTATTGACATGAATTTCCTTCAGCAATTATTCTAACAGAGAGAGGACTGCAGCGCTGCAGACATGACAGCAGACCCAGGGGCTCGAAAGGATGCGGGCTCGCCACCTCGGGGAGGGAGGGAGGGGAAGGTGGGGGAGGGAGGGGACACGGGAGGGAGGGGGAAGGAGGGAGGGGGAGGGAGAGAATCTTTTAAAAAGAATCTGAGACGTTTTCAATTTTCAATTATAAGAAGAAATGACAATAGAGGAAGTAATGACATCTGACGATTTAAGCATTTTATCCAGAAACATACATCTATTCCATAGATACCAAATCCATTACCATATAATGGAGTTTGAAAATATACAAAATATTTGTTGTTCTTACATACTGAAATTAAATCCTAATTTCAAAAAGTGCACAGTAAAAACAGCATAAGGAAACCTACAATATCCATGGTTATGTCTATTGTTTTCCATTGACTGTCAACATCCAATTCTGTATTTGCCTTGCTGTTTACAAAGACTTCAAACGTCTCAAGGTCACGGACAACACTGGCTAGTTTACAGGTCCCACAGCACTTCAGCTCCCAGGGGCCACCAGCACTGGCTGTGGAGTCTGGCCCCGAGACTCTGGGCAGCAGCTGCAGCCGGTCTGGAGGGAACAGTCGCGTCCAGCTCCTCGTCAACTATCGACTCCTGTTCTTCTTAGAATTTCCCTGTGCAAAGAAAAACGGCCACCATAGAGCACAAGCGTCAGAAAAGGCGTTCACAGTTTGCAAAGCAGGCTGTCTGGGGCCATGTTGTCCCAGGGACACTCTGCTTCCCATCTGGAGAACAGCTGGCAGATAACCTGCATGTCAGCCTCTATTCAGTAACCACAAAGCTGTTTATTACTTCTGACCTTCCCTGCTCCCAACTTCCAGGACCCAAACCCTCTCGGGGGCATGAATAATAAATAAAGCACACAACTACCCCGTGTACCAAAATTCCTTTTCGTATGAGATCTCATGAAGCAAAATAGTTTGGTCCCAATATGGTTTTTGTTTTCTCTCTCTCTTTTTTTTTTAAGATTTATTTTATTTATTATGTAAATAGCGTTCTTTCTGCAAGTTTGCCATAAGCCAGAAGAGGGTATCAGATCTCATTACAGATGGTTGTGAGCCACCATGTGGTTGCTGGGAATTGAACTCAGGTCCTCTGGAAGAGCAGACAGTGCTCTTAACCTCTGAGCCATCTCTCCAGCCCCCGGTTTTTGTTTTCTAAATAAACAGGTTTTACAGCAGTGGTTCTCAACCTTCCTAATGCTGTGACCCTTTAACATGGTTCCTCATGTTGTGGGGACCCCCAACCATAAAATTATTTCATTGCTCCTTCATAACTGTAAATCTGCTACTCTTATGTATTGTAATGTAAGTATCTATGTTTTCCAATGACCCTAAAGAGGTGGAGACCCACAGTTGAGAACCACTGAGAGCTTGGAGTAGTGGTACACAATGCTCTTCAACATGGTGGTTTTGCATATTCTCTTCTCTTTGGAGAGGTTCACTTCTTAGGACTACAGTCTAATTAAATGCCTAAATGATGAGGCCCACACACCATTTCTTCCCATAAGTGGGCAACACCTGCAGATCATGGCACACACACGGTGGAGATGTTTACTCTGTATCCAGTGGAGACAAAGCTCCCTCGGTCACAAGAGGACACTAGAGCAATATAAATTACTAATAAATGGAGGAGTGTGCTGAACAGTTTTATGTCAAGTTGACACAGCTAAAGTCATTTGGGAAGAGGGAACATCAATTAAGACAAGGCCTCCATAAGATCAGGGTGCAGGCAAGCCTGTAGGGCTTTTTTAAATTAGTGATTGATGGGGGAGGGCCCAGCTCAGGGTGGGTGGTACCAACCCTGGGCTGGTGGTCCTGGGTTCTATAAGAAAGCAGGCTGAGCAAGCCAGTGAGCAGCACTCCTCCATGGCCTCTGCATCAGCTCCTGCCTCCAGGTTCCTGCTCAGCTTGAGTTCCTGCCCTGACTTCCTTCCGTGATGGACAGTGATATGGAAGTGTAAGCCAAGGAAACCCTTTCTCCTCAAGCTGTTTTTGGTCACAGTGTTTCCTCACAGCCATAGTCACCCTGACTAAGACAAGGAGGAAGCCAACACAGGGCTTGCTTACAGAATGACCGAAGAATGGTTAAGAACACCACTCTGAGCTGAAGGGAGGCCTCGTACGCGGATTTAATAATCCAGGCAATTTCAGGAATAGCCTTTAGTGTAAATTTCAGAATTTCTGAAGTAGCTCTAGTCCACCTTGATCACCTCACATGATGGACGTGCAGCTCGGGGGCTGAAACATTTCTCTGTCACTGCCTCCCGGACACTAGTGCTACAACTAGCTCTCTCGTAAATGACGTCACAGAAAACCAAAGATGATCTCCTCAGTGCGTGTGCATTCTACTGTGACTAGAACTATAACCGAGTCAGGAGAGTAAGGAGAGGTATTCACAGAGAGGACCGTACCTCCTGCCTCTAAGACCACATTTCCTGAAGCACGAGTCACTAGAGTCATAATCAGGAACATCTGGCTGGTCATCAGCACAGAGCTGGCCCAGACAAGCACAGGTAACACCTCCCCACACAGTGAGACGTTAATGAATGTCCTGAATGGTGCTGAGGAGGGTCATGTAACGCAGACTCCAGTGTAGCCCCCCCCCCCCCCCGGCATGTTCTCCAGGGGAACCTCGCCCAGCGGCGACTTTGACCACTCCGGCATGCAAGGCTGCAACTGCACCTGTCTACTGCCTCTCCAGCTCAGGTACTGCCTGGCCATCTGAGACGACGCACAGAACGGAATGCCTGCTGCTGTGAAGCTTACATTTGTAGGAAAAAAGCTGCCTATTACCATTCACTAACAGAGACAGGGTATATGGAAATGCATGCCAACCTAAGCACATTACCTGGTATCTACTGACTGGTTTGGACAGAGGCTCTATGAAAAACAAAATCAACAGGAATCCTGGAGATAAAATGGTTAGCATTCCTATGGGCAGTTATGAGAATAAATAAAGAACTCTATTCCATTCTTGGGCATATACCCAAAGAAGGCCATTTCCTAATGCGGAGATATCTGCACATCCATGTTTATTGCTGCTTTATTCACAACAGCAAGGGAATGGAACCAGCTGAGATGCCCACCAACAGATGAAGAGTTAATGAAAATGTGGGAGAGATATAATATGCAATATTATTCAGCTGTCAAGAAAAATGAGATCTGCAGGAAAATGGCTGGGCTTGGGAAGTATAATATTAATAAAGGTGACCGAAAGGGAAAAAGAAAAAAGTGTATGTCCCCCTCACATATTGATCCTAGCCTCTAATGTAAACATGCATGTATGTAAACAGTTAAGTGTGGGTATGGACAACACTTAGGAAGGAAATCCCGAGAGGGTAACATGAGCGCAGGCAAGGGACACAGGAACCACGAAAGAGGACGGTAGGCTAGTTTTGTTTTGTGGTGGTGGTGGTGGTTGTGGCAGTTTCAACGGTGTCTGCTCCTTCTCTTCCTGTGGTGGATAACTGAGAGTATAAACCCTAAGTGAGGCCTCTGGTCTCAGAACGTGCAGTTCACTGACAGTCGGAGCTGGGGACTGGGTAAGCGTCTCAGTGGCTTCCTTAAGGTGTGTGAGACTTTCGTCTGTGAATTAACAAGAATAAGTGACTTTATCGAATGAAACAACTTGCTGAGGGTCTGTGAATTAATAAGAGTAAATGACTTTACTGAATGAAACCAGTTGCTAAGAATTACCCACATACCATTAGGATCTTATCCAGACAGAGCATGATCCCCTCAGGCCATCTGCAAGTCCCCTCACTCTTACACAAAAGCAAAAATGTCACAAGGCAGCAGCAGATCAGACCTCAGCTTAGACTCAGCTAAGGACATGATTTTTCTTTTAGGACAGGAAAAGGAAGTGAAGGAAGCGGATTCACAAGTCCTTACTCCTAACTTTCCTCTGGAAACACCACAGTGCAGCCTCGTCTTCCAGCTGCACTGGCGTCCCCGCGTCCCTCCCCACACACCTTACTGGACATCTTCAGCGTGTCGATCTCTTCCCTCTGTTTGGACAGGGTCTCGTTCATGCTGCACAGGTGGTCGCTCATCATACTCAGCTGATCCTCGTAGCTCCTCTTGGTGGTCGTCAGCTCATCCTACAGAGCAGGCAAAAAGAAGAGAGGCTACCCAGAAGCTCCTTTTACTACAAACATCTGGGAAGCAGCCTATCATGAGGCCCTAGTTGAGCAGTTAACACAAAGTTAAGGCACAGGCTGAATGGAAGGACAAAGTGGAAAAAAAATAGGGAAAATTTATCAGCCTTGAAAGAATGCATTCATAGTCGGGTGGTGGGGGCGCACGCCTTTAATCTCAGTACTTGGGAGGCAGAGTCAGGCGGATCTCTGTGAGTTTGAGGCCAGCCTGGGCTACAGAGTGAGATCCAGGACAGGCACCAAAACTACACAGAGAAACCCTGTCCCAAAAAACAAAACGAAGCACAACAAAAAGAATGCGTTCATAATTTCTTTATCTCAGTCACTGAAGTGTTTGCAAGCATGAGGCATCCCTAGAACCCACATAAAAAGAAGCTGGGCCTGGAGGTGCCCACTGGAGGTGCCCACTGGAATTGCAGCCCTGGGGAGGGAGACAGATGCTGGAACTCACTGGCAAGCCAGCCAGCCTACTCGGCAAGTCTGAGACCCACGCATGCTTACACAACTGTACGACGTACAAAACATGAGCATCCCTCCTCGGTGGGTACAGGACTGTGAAAAGCCTGGGGGAACTGTTGCTTCCAAACCACCCTGGTTTTCAAACGCCCTGCACAGGCCTCGGCCTTCTGCACCTTCCCAGGAGGACACCCTGCCTCCTGCCTCATGCTCTCCTCAGCCTCCTGAAAGACTCCCATCTCTAAGTAATCTGAGGAGCTGATCTGAAACACGGACGCTGTGTCCCTGGGTTTTCCTGTGCCTACCTCATGCTGATATCAACAGGGGCTTCCTGGAAGGCAAGGCTTGAAACTGGAACTGGATTTATTTACTTGTGTATTTAGATATATAATGAAGCAGGGTCTCACTATGTATTCCTGGAACTCACTCTATAGACCAGGCTGGACTAGAACTCAGAGACCTGCCTGCCTCTGCCTCTCGAGTGCTGGGATTAAAGGCATGCGCCACCATGCCCAACAAAAGCAAACCTTTGAAACCCAGCAGTGAGAAGGAGGAATGTTTTGCAGCCGCACCCTTAGGTTTATTTAGGTCAGTGTCTGAAACAAGACAGAATAATGTGTGTAGAACAAGCCTACAGCCAGTCACAGTGAGTGTTTACAAGGAAGAGGAGAAAGAAGGATTATGGGTAAGTATAAATAAATAAATAAATGCAGACTACAGAAAAATTTGAAATCAACCTCAAATCAGAAACAAGATGGCCATTCTTCGCCTGGTATAAGTAATAGTTACTTTCAGATGAGTTAGAAATCAAGCGATTTGAAAAAGGTGTGTTTAAAGGCCACAGAGCATCACTTGCCAAGGGAAGGCTGGCTTGGCTGCCCTCAGGTCAGTCATGGAAAAGCCGTTAGTGCTGAGGTCACACTCAGGAACTCACCTGCAGCCTGCTGCTATTCTGACTGGCTAGCTTCATCTCCTCGGTCAGGTTCTCCTTACACTTCTCCGCCAGGGCCAGCCTCTTAGAGAGCGCTCGGCACTGTAGAATCAAAACATCAAATTTTACCCTGGGAAGGTAGGTGGGTTTAGTCACCAAAGCCAAAGGCCATCATTCATTCACGCACTCATGCACTCACTCACTTATTCATTCATTCCAAAACTCTCTGCTGAATACACAAGGTGGAGAATGGTACAGAACAGAAGATAAGGACCCACTCTCTTGTTTTACTAAGGTAAAAGAGGCCTGCGGCCCAAGCTTATCAGTGTTCTGTTAGCTCCAGTGATCACAAAGCACATAAAAGCGTTCTCCATTTACACGGGACCCATTTATACTTCTGATGGATAAAGGACACTGGTTGTCTCAAAAGGGATTGCGGGCTGCCAACCACGGGCCCTACCTAAGGTAATTCCCAAATCCCTTGGGTTTTAAGTTCATCGATAGAGACCCCAGTACAGGAACCACGACATCTTTGTAATCCCACCCAAAGATTTATGCTGTCTATATGTTTTCTCTAGTTTTCCTGTGGGGCGTTTACCCACCAACCCCACAGCTCCCCAGAGTTTTCTTGAGTGCGAGCAGCAGGAAATATTAGATAGAAGGATTTATAGCGGAGAATCTTATGGAGAGAAACAGATAGAAAATAAAGGATAGTCTCGAGAGGGCCTGGAACCTTTTCCAACGGACCTGACTGTCTCTGGCCAAGGGGTGGAGCAAAAGACCTCCTCCCCCAGCACAGCCAAGTGCAGACCATCTCAGACACCTGCACTCAGGCCCGTGGTCCTGATCATCCTCTATTTGGACCTGCTGGGTAAAGCCACGAGGAACCCGAGAACGGGCTCCCACATTTTCCTAAACCCAGATGATGTAAGACAGAGCAGATAAAAAGGAAAAGAGGAAGTTTTATATCACATTGTTCAGACAAGGAGGATTTGAAGATATTTGAATGTTGTGTGGACATCAGGATCTTCAACTATCCTTTCCGGTAAAGTCATGGGGTGGGGGGTGGGGGCATTACTTCCTGTTTATACATGAGAACTAGGACAATCTAAAAATTCTTGCATCATAACTGTGCTGAAAACATTTACTAAAATAGGCAGAGCTCATGAAATTGAGACAGCCTAAAATTCCCCTAGTTCCTCATTTGTTCTCAAGAAAACTTCAGGACAGCTTGTACAATCAAATCACCCACTTCCCTCTGCTCGGCACTGAACCTGCCCGCCCGAGAGGGAGAAAGCATGCAGGGCCCGGGCCATAGGAAGACGACAATCACATCTGGGACACCACCCAGAGAGCGGACAGGGAACCGGAAATGATGGTATCAGCTGCACACACAGTTTAAGAAACAGAAGTTCTACATCAGCCAGCCTGTTTGCTGTACCCCACTTTCTACACCGTAACAACAGCGACCAACTGATAAAGGACGGGTGCAGCAGCTCCCTATCCCCTGGGAAAGGCCGCTTTATTTTAAAGGAAAAAGCACAGTCCTTTTCCACCTCTAACACCTGGCTGCCTGTCCACCTCTTCATCTCTGCAATGTGGAGACAGTCACAGACAACGCTCGGTCCCAACAGAGGGGGCCGTCTCTTCCTCTATGGTTTAACAGCTTAAGTGGTGTAACTCTGCCTGTCTCTAATTAATTCTTACTATAAAGTGTCGAATCAAAGACTCACAGACCCTGCGTGCGCCCACCAACCTTCTTCCTTCCTCGTTCTTTAGTATCTGAACTGGTTTCATTCTCCCCTCCATCTCTGGAGTCTCTATGGTGAACAGTGGGGTTTTAATACATGAACTACTGATGACGGAAGAAGAGGAGGCGACAAGGTGAGGCCTTCCAGCTCTTCTGAGTTAAACAGGTGACGGTTTTCACTCAATCCTTTAAACTCAGGCCCATGAACCTCCCACTTAGGAACCGGGGCATGCGGGCTGGACAGACGGCTCTGTCGGCAAACTGCTGCCTGTGCACGCATGAGGACCTCGGATCCCGCAGCCATGCAGAAAGGCCAGACACGCCAGCACGCGCCTGTCACCCCAGAGCTGGGGAGGCAGACGCAAGAGCAGCCTGGGGTCTAGCCGGCCAGCCTATCTGACCAACAGCTCCGGGTCAGCGAGTGGCCGTGTCTGAAAGAGCAAGATGGAGGAAGGTACCCGACGCTGACCTCTGGTTCCCACAGGTGTGTGCACAGGCACATCCCTACCCCCCCCCCCCAAACACACACATACACATAAAGACACTGGAGAGATTTTAAAGATGGGCTGGCGAGATGACTCAAGGGATAAAGGTGCCATCGAGCCTAATGACCTGAGTTTGACCCCGGAACCCACATGGCGGAAGAGAGACAACTCCTGGAAGCTGTTCTCTCCTGTCCACAGGTGCTGGCACTCCCACACATACACAGTAAGTAAATGTAAAACCAAGAAAGGTCTGGTGCGTTTCACTTTTCACTTTGCACATGTACATGTCCTCTACCACTGACACAAATAATCTCTATTAATCCTTCAAAACTCACAACACGGGCTGCAGAAAGGCTGCCCGAGCCTGTCACCTCTCCTGCAGGAACGTGGAAATGACACACAGTCTCACACTGACTGAAATGAACGTGCTGGAGTGGCAGATGGACTAACCACCCTGAGCTATGACTGATCCAGACACACGGACGGAACAGAACCGTGACCTGATCTGATGGACCGCACTCACCTCGGCGTAGAAGTGCACCGACTTGCTGTCAGCCAGCTGCAGCTGAGACGTGAGCTCCGCTATCCTTGCCATGTAGTGATTCTTAATCAGGTCTTCCCGGGACTCCACATCTGGGACCTTCGAGGACCACAAAGCAGAGATGTCAGTGAGAGGGGCAATTCTAGCAAAGGAAGCAAAGACCACACTTTACACCTCACCACTAGAACCTCACAGGAGACGGCTCCCCTTCCCCTCAGAGGACAGCCAGGCACGGCGGGAGAACAGCCCAGGTTTCCGTCCCTGCCGGCCTGTGTCTCAGAGCTCCCTAGAAGAAAACAACACCGGACTGAAGTACTGGGAAGCCCCACGGCCACGTCCTTCCAGGCAGCATGGTATTCAATCATCTGTTCATTCATTCTTGTTTTGTTTTTTGAAACAGTGTTGCCAAGCATCCAGGGCTAAACTCAAATTCATAATCCCCCTGCATCAATCTCCCAAATCCTTCGATTACAGGTGTAAGCGATCACACACAGTTCTGACCAGTTTTTATCAGCCACAAACCTAACTTTCAAAATCTCCATCTTTCGGACTAGCATGGCTTCTTTAATTGGAAAAGGGCAGAGAACGGGGGAGTATTTACTGGAACCCTGGGTTTTTTAATTAACATACAGTCATTACGTATACAGTACCGGGTTTCAGTTCGTAAGTAGATATACATTTTGCCGGTCTCTCCTCCCAGGAGTCATCATCATTTCTAGATAGTCATATCTATGCTTTTCTGTACCTTTATAAAATCTAGGCCCCACAAGTGGGAGAAAACGTGGTATTTATCTTTCTGAGCCTGACTTGGTCTACTTCAGACCATCATCTCTAGTTATATCCATCTTCTTGCAAACAGTACATCATTCTTTATGGCTTCACCGAACTCCACTATGTAAACACACCACACTTTCTTCACCGTTTCTCTGCTGATGGACACCTAGATTGATTGAATGATTCTGCTACTCGGAACAATGCTGCAATAAACATCGAGTGTAAACGCCTCTGTGCTGTGCTGACTCACAGTCCTGTGGAACCTCTAAATTCAGAACAATTTTTTTTTAACCCTTAAATTTTCTTCAGGAAAATGTAGTGCTCATAAACATACTAATAAATTAAACAAAATTGAACTGTTTGGAGCCTTTGTTCCAGATTGTTCCAGACTGGTATTTGTCCTGTTATACTTGCAATGACACATAACTGAGCCAAACTGTAAACTCATGAAGCTCAGCATTACCTTTGAAATAAAGAAGGAAATGACAGACCCTACAAGCCTCCTAGAACCATCATGACCACACTGAGTGACGAGCTCGGCTACTTCAGTTTTCATTTACTGGTCACTTGCAGAACCGTGATCTTCAAGTATTTCAAAATTCAAATGTGTAAGCCCATGTGACAAGTCCCACCAGATCTGGGCTCACTCACAGCAGCACACACGGAGGCCTGAGGAACCCTGCACTGTCAGAACTGTGGAAGTGGGTCACTGACCACGGCCCCCGCTAACCCAGGCTCTAAGCTGCCCTCTACTGAGGGCAGCCTGGAAGGAGTGATAAAAGCACGTGGAAGCACCCATGAGAGGAACCACTTGCCTTCCTTGTAAGAATTACCAGAAACACACACAGAGCTCCACAGGACTCGTCCACAAACGTGCACCACACATGCACTAATAGGCAACACCATGTCGAGTGCACATTACCTCACTGTCTGGAGTCCTGGTTAAAAGCCCAATCTAGAACATAAAGAAAAAACACCGTTAGAACATTTCAGACACAAGAAGTTAACAGCCTATAGCTTGTTCTCTTCTTGGTCTGTGCTGGTCCACAGACCATTGATGACGTAGGCCAGATCGCTGTGGATGCTGAGCATGGCTTCTGCCACGAGGCACAAACTGATAACCATTGCCAAATGCTCTATCACAATGCTGATTCACCCAACGGACTATCCAAGAGCAGGAGGGTGATTGATTTTGACCCTATCACATCATTTCCCAAGCAATAACATAGATGGTCCTCTGGAGACCACAATCATTAAACATGCTGAACAGAAAACACAAATAAGCACTTTGTATAAAAACTCAAAAGGAAAAAGCATACTTTACATAATGTTATCAAAACATTAATGTAAGACGAATTGCTAAACGGTCTTATAAGTGAAATAATCGGGAGCCAGATATTGAGGTGAATGCTGAAAGATCAGAGAAGCAGAGCAGGCCGCATCCAACTTCACCTCAATAATGCCTCAGCCAATCCTGTTTCCTCAAACTGAAAGCCCGTGTGTCCTCATGCAAATGGATCTCAGCTTACCTGCTGCTGAAAGCCTAAAAGCTTCTAGTTCCTGGTTTTCACACCTTAAATACCTTTCTGCTTTCTGCCATCACTTCCTGGGATTAAAGGCATGTGTCACCATGCCTGGCTTTTTCCAGTGTGGCTTTGAACTCACAGAGATCCACACGGATCTCTGCCTCTGGAATGCTAGGATTAAAGGCGTGTGTGCCACCATTTTCTGGCCCCTGTGTCTAATCCAGTGGCTGTTCTGTCCTCTGACCCCAGATAAGTTTATTAAGGTGCACAATATACTGGGGAACACAAAACCACCACACATTAATAAACACTGAGACTTAAAACAAATATATATATAATTTTAGATAAATTACTGTACAACTCCATTTTTCTAAAGTTTGCTTTTATAGATTAAGACTTAAACAACAGGACTGGGGTGGCTTAGTGGTTAGAGCTCACCTCATATGAACAGGCCCTAGGTTCAACCCTGACCACTACCACCATCCCTTAAAAACAGAACGGGATGTCAAAAACAGGTGTGATCGCAGAATTCAAGTTACCGTCCAAGGTAGCAGGGTGGGTGGAGGGTGTTAGGACTTAAGAAAACTACCGGAGACTTTTTTCCCAATGGGATCTGCTATTCAGGGATGGGGTCCAGTGGGCAGTGTCCATATATTCTCCACCATCCTCAAGTGTATCATTCTTTTATCCCCCAGCCTCTGCCCACTATCTCTTTGGAGACAGTTTCACTATTTTACAGCTGGCCACAAACTCATGGCAATCCTCGTGGCTTAGGCAGCCAGGAGCTAGGATCACAAGTGTGCCCTCTGTCCAGCTTCCAAGAGTGTTACTCTGAGGACTGAGAGCTGTGAATTCATGGATGTTCACCTATCTAGCTACAAAAGAGTCTGCGGTAAGAATTTTTGGTTACAGAAGAACTGCAATTTCCTTCTCAGTGAAGCAAGAGTAGCAATTTTTCTCTTTAAGTTAAAAGCTGCTTATAACAGCCCACTGATCATTTGATTTGGTGTAATCAAATCTAACTATATTTGATGAGATAAAACGCAAAGCTATGTCTATGCCCCTTTACCTCTTCCACTCATTACTCCCAGGTTCGAAAAACGGGAACCATACAGAGTCCTTCAAAGGAATAGTCTATAAATGGAAGGAATATTCTGACATGTGTTCTTTTCAATCTCTTCTCGTGTTCTACTAACTAGAGTATGATCCAATGCAATCTTATTAGAACATATTTGGCAATGAAGATCAAAAAACATAATATTCATGTCTTCTGGTTCTGCAGTTCTTTCTTAAGACTTATTTCTCTTAATTATGTATATACACGTATGTCTGTGTGTGGGTATGTGCACCATGAGTTCAGTGCCCCCAAAGTTTAGATGAGGGCGTCAGATCCCTTGGAGATGGAGTTACAGGAGGCTGTGAACTACCCGACTTGGGCACAGGGAACCAAATCAGGTCCCCCCAAGATCGGAACCTGCTCTGAGCTGCTGAGCCATGTCTCCATTCCTACTCAGTAATTCCAACCCTAACCTAAGAGTGTACCCCATGGAAATCACCTAATATGTGGAGAGAATCTTACATAAAAATTGTATGATAGTTACTACAGTGAAACATATAACCTATGCTCAACCCCAGGGAAGCTAAGATGCGTTAGAGATGGAATACTGTGGAGTCAGTTTCTACAGTCTGATGAAACAATGTGCATTAACCTCATGCTAAAGTCTAAAATCAATCAGACATGAAATTTTGTACAAAGAAATTTAGTAGTACTCTTTAGTCAGGATAATGCCATTGATTCATTGATTTTCTTCTTTTTTAATCTCTTGTTATTTTTAGTTAACTCTAATATACATGGATAATTTTTATATCTAACATATATTTGAAAAGCCCACTAATTTAAGCAGTGTTTTTAATTAAAACAAAATGTGAACATTTGTATTGCTCTGCATTTTTTCTTTCTTGGATTATTATTATTATTATTATTATTTTTTTTTTTTTTTTTACAATAATGAGCCGGTGGCTACATGGTTGAATTCAGGGCTGGATATTTTAATGAAAATAATTAACATTTGGCCTCTGAAACGCTACAGGGCTTCAAACAGTCAATTTATATCTGGTATTGCCTATTTGGCCTTAAAGTGACCTCTTGGGTTGAAGGCTGTGTCCCTTTTGAATCAATTGACTCTGAACCAGGCAGCTTGCGGCTCTCACCCAAGATAAAGGCAGTTCAAGGTGTGCTCGCCACAGCCACAGCTACAGACTCAGTTCACTGTGTTCACCTAGGGGTGGCAGAGGAGATTTAAAAAAAAAAAAAGGCTAGAAAGCAGAAACAGCAAAGTCAGCAAAATGGTCTCTTCCCCTGCCATCCGCCATGTGGGAGGCGGGGCCAGGCCGCCGGGCAGGGATCTGCCATGTGCAGCGGAGAATGAGAAGTGCATGAGCAGACTTCTCTCATCCTCGTCTCCCGCCTTCAACTGCTGATCAGATTTAAAATCCACTCCCATCACCTCTCCTGTGACATCATCTTCCACTGACGGACTTTCCCTGTGACTTCACAACTCTGTGTGGAAGGCAGGGAAGCTTATACTCTACCAAAAGCAACCAAGGGTGGGCGACTACTCCACTACTGTAGTGGCGTGTGGACGTGAAGAGGAGGCACCCAGCCTTCCTCTAAGTCTGAACAGAAATAGCAGCTCACGGAGTATGCAGCCGCTCAACTCCGTTTAAACTCCAGTTAGATTTAAATCAAGAGTCAGAGAGCAGGAAGAGCAGCTGGTGGGGGAGGGGGCACCGGGTGACAGAGTCATGAGGAAGCCGACACCGGGAAAGAACAGCCTCGAAGACAGACAGGAAATGCGAAGAAGAGTCCCTGAGAGCAGAATTCAGTTTGGTTTCCCCAAGGGAAATGGGCACAGTTTGGCTAGAAAGACAGGTAGGTATCCAAGGGCGCTGAATGCCAACCAAATGGACTGAAACCTACAGGTGACAGGAGCCATCGAAGCCCAGGAGCCGGAGAGTGTGTTGATTCCTAACCAGACCCCAGGAAAAGCACAGAGGGCACTTGTGAGGTGGGTGGGGAAAGAGACACTGAAGAGGTGATGGGCAGGAACAGAAGACAAGGCCGTACACACACACACACACACACACACACACACACACACACACACACACACACACACACACGCTAACTGAACACCCTACTCAAGCAAGAGCAACTTCCAAGTGCATCAGCCCACAGTACAATCACCATTTGGGCCCAGTGCTGTTCATGTCCCTGGGAATCCTCCTTTACATGTAGGGAAAGTGTCTGCCATTCTAGAGGAGAAAACAGGCCTTGGCTTTAGCCCTGACATGGCTGCCGATCTACCAGTTTCCAACGCCATCTCCTCAGAAAACCAGGCAGCCACCGCACACAAAGACGGAGGGCGGCCTCGGGTGAGTTGTTTCTGCTTCCCCTCATCAACCAACAATGGACAGTGCCTCAGTTTCACACCCCTACAATCCACCTGAGCACAGACGGAGAGAATACACTGCCTTGTTTCCAGACCCAGGCTGGCAAATGGGCTAGTCTGGAACCATGGATACTTCCTGGCCACCACCAACTCTACAGCCAGCACAAGTGTAAGTGAAAGAATGGATGTAGGGGGTGGAGGAATGTCAGACGGTGGAAAATAGTCAGACGGCGGAGAACAGTCAGACAGTCAGACGGTGGGGAACAGCCAGACGGTGGGGAACAGCCAGACGGTGGGGAACAGTCAGACAGTGGGGAACACTCAGACAGTGGGGAACACTCAGACAGTGAAGAACAGACAGAGAGTGGGGAACAGTCAGACGGTGGGGAACAGTCAGACAGTAGAGAACAGTCAGACAGTGGGGAACAGTCACAGTGGGGAACAGTCAGACAGTGGGGAACAGTCAGACGGTGGGGAACAGTCAGACAGTGGGGAACAGTCAGATGGTGGGGGACAGTCAGTGAAGAACAGTCAGACAGTGGGGAACAGTCAGATAGTGGAGAACAGTCAGATGGTGGGGAACAGTCA